TTATTTGTGCCAGACCCTGTATATATATTTTTAGAATATCCTTGGTGAACTTTTCTACACTAGTATCAAAATGATTAGAAGGATAAAAAGCCATCAGAATTTCAGATAGGGCTTTAACCCTAAAGCATAGAAAACCCAAATTTGTCATATCTCCAACACACTCACGTGCATACCTCCCTTGCCCAACAAAAACAGTCCTGGTCCCTAAGATCTTACACCTGACATTTCTTTTGATTTAATTAGACACAAGACAGGAACACAAGCCAAATTTCAACACATAAATGTGTGACTGCCTAATTAATTTTTGTTACCAGTTCTCTGCATGCTTTTCTTAACATTTGTGTGGCTTGTCACGTCTTACCCACATCATCCTATTTGAATTCCACAGCCACCTGGGGAAAAAAAAAAACAGGTGACCGAAGTGACTGTCACCATTGTGCAGATGAGGACAGAGGCTCCAAGAGGGCTCAGGGCAGAGGATGGGCCCCGAAAGTAAGGATTTAACCTTTGTCACTGTCCAGGGGGACTGGGGACATTTTGGCGGCACCCGTGTGTACCAGCGAGTGTCTGCGTGTGAGAGTCATGGTCGAAACTTAGGGCAAGGGGAGCCCACAGGTTTACAAAGAAGAAAAAGACTCGGGAAACGGACTAACAGGTGAGGAGAACCTGTTGTGCTAAAGTGTTAGCTCAGTGCAGCAGGGTCAGCCCTCGGTGCCTGAGAACAGAAGCGTTAAATGAGCGACTCTAGGTGCCAGACATCGGGATTTCTCAAAATAGGGCCCACGAGAATTCTTTGGTCGGCACCCCTAACAGTATCTGTTAGCAGATACTGTGGCCCATCCCCAGGGCAACACCAAGACACTCACAACTCTGAGATCAAGTCAACCTCTGGGACCAAAGGAGGACGTATCAAAAGATCATGCATAAGGTCAGACTAAAGAATGGTCAGTAAATGATTGACCGAGGAGGTGGGGGTGCCCTGACTAATCAATGTGTTATATCAGGGCAACTGCACTGACTTACTGAAACCAAACGAAGGAAGTGTTGTAAATCTGGGGAAATGGGAATCAGTGGTGTTCACTTTACCTGGGAGAGAATGACTGTTAATAGGAGGGGGGTGGCTGACCAGCACCCTGTCAAGCAAGGAGCTAGACAGCAGGAATGCAGAAGGGGGGCGGGGGAAGGATATAAGTGACAGTCACTAAGCTCCCCGCTTGGGGGCCAGGATGCATCACCAGCTGCCTCAGGGCCTGGGGACCCCCCTGCTCTGGTCTGGTTTACAGTTCAGGTCTCCAGCCATAGGTGGTATGAGTGTTCTCCCACGGTACAACCAATTCTGGGGGTTCTGGGTCAGCAAAGCAGAACCTGGATCTATAAGAGTGATGAGCCTGCCCAGGCCTTTGTTCATTTTGACTGTCCTGTGTGGTGGACAACCCGTTGCCTTGGGCCATAACTCTGCTGGTCCCCCTCATTGACAGTGGACAGGGTGCTTTGTTCTTCTATTTAAATGAATACTTTTTCTTCTATTTAAATGAATACTTTACGTGTAGCACTGGTCTAGTTCAAGGGCAAAAGAAGACCCATACTGGGGTTGGAAAGAATCGGGGTTCTTGTCTTGGTGTTACCACTAGCCACGCCTTTGACATTCCAAGCTCTTTAATCTCAGTCTAGGTTTCTTCTTCCATTCAGCGAAAGGATTTCATCAGGTGATCTTTGTAATTTGCCTGAGGTCCTTTAGCTGACTGGGGACAAATAGCCCCATTACCCTTCCCCTACCTTACGCCAGCTTTTCCTCCTGTATATTTGGGATGGGGGTGGGGGTCAGGCAGTATGAAACGGACTTCCCTTCTCCCTGACCTGGGTGGATTCTGTGTAGATGGTGCATACACGGAGGCCTCGCAGGAAAGAATCGCCTCCAGCTCCAGCCCCGTTTTCCAACCTTCTCCATCTCGTTGGATTCACATAGAAAATGGTAACAGTGGAAAATGATATTTGTATTGTGAGATGAACAGGGTGGGGGAAGTGCCAGGGCTGCCCACAGCCACCCCAAGGGAAGAGAGACTCAATACCTTGGTCCCCCTGTGACTGCGGACCCAAACACCCTGGCTGAAACGTTCTGTCATGAGCACTCCCAAACCAGGGTGCTACCAGGAGCAAGCTAGATTAAGCTGCATTTCCTTCTTAGGCACTGTCTCCGACTGGTAGAGTACTTTCTTCTCACCCAAAACAGATGCAGCTCCCAAACCCCCTCTGTGGTCCATTTCACAGAGCTGGCTTCTCGGACAAAGGCCACAGGGAGGAAAGAACATGCTTCTTCCGGCTGGTGTCTTCATAAAGCGAGCACACGTTCTGCAGGCTGCTGGCTTCTACTGTATTCATTTTGTTATTACTTATCCCTACGTCTATCACAATTGTCTTCTTTTGGCGTGATTTATTTTGCGGTATAGTGTGCTTTGTTCCTTAACGATCCTCAACCGAACAGACGGTCAGGAAGGCCACTCCATCGTTTGATACGTTCTATCGAGCGTCTTGCATGGGGCGCGGAGAGCAGAGTCACCCTCGCAGTGTCTCTTCCTGGAACAGACTCAACATCTTAGGTCCCACCTCCGAGTCTCATCGCTCGGCCTTGGTAGGAGATAATGACTTTCTTGACCGTGACTGTTCACAGCAGGGATATGTGATCAGTGTACAGTAGTCCAGTTAGCACTTTTTCCTCCTTATTTTAAGTAAAGTGTAGATTACATACAGTACAGCACCAGTACGTTTTTTGTACAACACGGGCCGACTGGGAACTCCACTCACATTTTCATGCCTTCAGCAGGGACTTTTGACATATTTCTCAAGTAGCAAAGACTGTGTGTGGTCTTTGTTTTCCTCATTTTCTTTTCTGTTTTTATGCTTACATTTTACTTATTTATTTATTTTTAGGAAGTGGAAGGGAGGGAGAGGGACATCGATGTCAGGGAGAAATGTTGATCGGCTGTGTCTCATGTGTGCCCCTTTCGGCTACCGAACCTGCAACCCTGACTGGGAACTGAACCGGCAACCTTTTGCTTTGTGGGCTAACACCCAACCAGCTGAGTCACTAGGTCAGGGCTTTTCTTCACATTTTCTGTTTCTCAGCTCATGCTCTTTCCCCTCCCTAACTCTGTGACCCTGTATTTATTATTTTTCTTTTTTTGCCCATTACCTTTCATTTCCTTTCTCTTTGTCTTACTTACTCTCCCCCATTTATCATTATTCTGCATTTCTCCACCACATTTCTCTAGATTTCCATAACGTGACACTTCACTTGGAGTAATCGCACTCATTACCCTTCCCCACTTTCACAGGGGGTTGCCGAACTTCCGGCCTGTCTAGGCTTGTCATTCCCCCTCGTGCCGGGCCCTTTCTCCTGCCTTGCTGGTCCCACGTCTCATGGGTGAGGTCACCTCCGATGGGTGAGCGTGGACCTTGGAGGCAATTCCTAGAGTCCGTGTCTGGGGTACAGGGTTCCCTCGTCAACGAGGACAGCGTAACTTCCTAATGCCCAAGATGAGAAAAGTGTAAATCGCAGTGTGAATACAGCGGGGTGGGAAAACTGGAGGAAACATCGTGCAGGGGTGGTGCTTCCCAGTGGGAGGCAGCAGTGACACTGTTGGACGGAGTCTGAGAGTCGATGAACAAGAAACCAGAACAGCTGTTTTATGGTCCCTGTTCCAGTTACCTGTCGCCATATAACAAACCACGCCAACTTTAGGGACAAGAAACAACAAACATTGAGTATTGTCATTACCTCTTGCAGCTGTGGGCGTTGATTTGCCTTTGGTTTGCCAGACTTGCTTGGGGTCTCTCATCTGGTCACAGGTGGACAGTGGCAGGGCCTGGGACGTGGACAGGCCGGGAGGGCACAAAACCAGAGGATTTTCCTTGCGACCCTCTGTCACGCTGGGGTTCCCACTCCTATCCCTTTGGTCATAAAGAGAGGGTTCCTCTTGGATCTTTCTCTGTGCAAGTTCAGTAGTTCTGAATTTCAGGTTTATCTCTCCTTGAACCCTCGTGGGTGCCTCATCACCCCCAAGCCTCACACTTCCACCTCCTTGAGGGAGCAGTGCCTACGTAAAATTAGGTCAAGTTCTCTATGGGTTATCTGCCTTTCTCTCCCTCTCATCATTGATTTACATCAGTATAGACTCATGGGCATTTATACTTTGCTTTACAATCTAATACTTTATTTGTTCAAATCATTTCAGCACGGGTCCCTCTTGTGTCCCCCTGACACACCTCCTTCACTGTATGTTTTGAGGGCTTCCTCACTGTCTGGCACCGGGTTCACCTGCGTGTCCCCAGGCCCAGCCCTGGAATCCACCAGGTCTCCAAGGAGCCCTGGCTCCTCTCATTGGAGGGCGGATTTAGAAACCAAGGTCTGCGTCTGGGTTCACCCCGGGTAGACGTTCCTTTCAGACAGTGTGCGTTTGTCCTAAAATTTTTATTTGGTTCTTTTCAATATCTTTCCTTTCTTTCCTCATTAAGTTCATATTTTCCTTTAAATAGGTTTTCATAATTATAACAGCATTTTAAAAGCATCCCTCTTTGCTGATCCCAACATCTGTGGCTTTTGTGTCCTTTCCAATTGATTTATTTAGATTTTGATTATTGGTTATATTTTCTTAGTTCTTGCCATGTTTACCCATTTTTTTATTGGATTTTAGACATACATTTTATGTTGTTGAATGTCTGGATTTTTGTGTGTTTGTTTTTTTGTCTGTCTTTGATGGGTTTGGGGCTTTTATTAGGCAAGCAGTTTTACTAGCATATCGGTGCTATCCCTTTAAGACCTATCTCTAACACGGAGGAAGTAGCCTCCCCCCTGCCCGCTCTGCGGGAACCTTGGGAGCATTTAGTTTACCAAGCCCCATTCTTTCCCAGTGTTTTGGAGTGCTGGCTTCCGCAGGCCCAACCCAGTATGCGGTAGACGCCATACATGGCTCTGGAACTCATTTTCTGCAGGACTACACCTTTTTGAGAATTTTGCAACTTACAACTTCCAGCTGCTCCAGCCTCTGGGATGTCTGATGTCTGTCCCCTCACTCCCTTTCTTGGTTCCATTTGGCTTCCCCGATCACTGCACGTGCAGTATGAAAACTGCCCTCTACGGAAAGCATGCGTAGTCACAGGCTCATGCAACCCTTTTCTCAAGGATCACGGTCCGTGCTGGCTCAGGGCCTGAGAACAACAGTTTTTCTCATGTTTTGTCCAGTTTTCAAGGTGTTGACTGCCGGAGGTCAAGTCCAGTCCTTGCTACTCTTCCACGGCCAAACTGTCCCTTTGGTTCTCAGTGGTGATGACAACCGTGATACTGGTCTTCCCATGCTATCTTTAGTCACGTGAACTAGCCATTTGGGATGCTTTGTAAGTTTGAAAAATTATGTTCCTTAAAATTTTGAGATTTTCTTATGCCTTTACCAATTTCCTGTCAACTGTTAATCTCAATTCTTTTTTTCTAGAATTTCTACTAGATGTTGGATCTTTTGGATTAAGGATCCATTTTTCTTATATTTTTTCTATTGTCCACTTTTCAAATGATACTTTATGTGAGCTTCACTTGTTTATCTTCCAATTATTCTATAAAACTAAAAAAATACCTGTCCTATTTCTAATTTCTAGGAGCCTTTTCCTATCCTGTTTCTTTTTATATCACTTTGCTTTTACTTTATAAATGCAGTCAATATCTTCTTTCACATCTTTAATGATATTACTATATTTTTTTTAAGTTGTCTGCACCGTCGCCATTTCCTTGGAGTTCTCTAGTGTTTGCTTTCATCACGGCCTTCAGAGTGCCTCTTAGCACCCTGGGCGCTCACCTGTCAGAGGGAGGCATCCACACCTGACCCAACGGGAAGCTCCGGGTACAGTGTTGGGCTGACCCACGTGGTCTTCACTGAGGCAGTGGGGAGCTACGGCGGGGGGGGGGGGGGACTGGCCAGTATTGTCACTGTGCCCTTCGTAATATCACTGTTTGTATTTTCTCTGGGGTAGCATCTTCCTGTCTCCCCTGTGGCAATGTTATTCTGTGCATTGGTTTTCCAGGTCTGAGCAGTGAAAAGAGGATGGAGATGTTGCTGTTTGGCACACGGACCCCCTCAACCCTCTTGCTTCGGAAGGAGCTCTGCCACCGCCCACCTTGGCCTGGAGAGAGAAGCCCGTGAACGGTGGGGGCCTGGGTGGGCTTAGAGAACTGGAGGGCTATACTAGCTTGTATAGAACTTTAATTTAATCCTGCTGCCTTCTGCACAGGTTTTTTTTTTTTTTCTTGTAAACCATTTTTATTGTATTCTTTCTACTGTTACTTATCCACCTTATACCCTTTTCCACTTCCACCCTCAGTTCTGTTTTCTCTATTCCTGTGTCTTTGCTGGGTTCTGTTGGGGGAATTTGGTTGCTTCTCACAAATACCTCTCGAACTCCCTTTGCAGGCACTGAAGTCTGACTGTCCTTCTCTCTGCTCAGTCTTACTCCTTTTTTGGAATTCTGTCTGCATATGTTGTGGGTACAGACATCTATGAATTCCCCAATGACAGACGCGCATGTCTGTTGCCTGTTCTCCTCGCTGCTTCTTGGTGGACTTTGGGAGGAGGAGTTTGGATGAGTGCGTCTTTACTCGGCCTTCCTGGAAACAGAGGCGCTCATGTTTTTATAGCAGAAAACATGTCTCACCACTACTACGAATTCTTATACTCCCTTTTTAAAAAAATTAAGGCCTAGATTTGGAGATGAACTAAATTTTAATCGAATTTGGGCTTTAACCTGGCTAACCAGAAGAAATCAACTGTGTAGTGCAAGGGTCACAAACACACACCACCAAACATCTGGATAAAATACAAGGTTAGCTAGCTCACAGGTGTTCTGCCTACATGACCACAAACTAAACATGTGGCATGAGAGGTTTTCGTCTTTAGTTTTTACCAGGTGTTTTACATCAGAATAGACATAGCCACGTAATTAAAGCACCTTGAGTGGGGGAGCGCTGTGTTAATAACCCGAGGCTGCTCTTCTCTACATCCTGAAGGTGACCACAGAGAGGCCCATCATGGTCACTGCATCTCTGGGTCACCCCAAGGTCGGCTGAGGGCACCTGCCTGAGGGGTCCAAGGAACTCACACCTGAGGGCACTGATCGGCTGACTCTAGCGCTTCTCTTTCCCGCCTAAGGAACCCGTTCAAGGATCCAAAGAAGTGGTTTTCACTCTAGTTTCAGAGGCTGAAGAGCTGCCTCCGGGTCGTATTAACTGTACATGTTTCTCCCACATGTTGGACCCGTGAGCCCCCCCAGCCCCCATCTCCAAATTTTAATTAAAGAACTATTTTCCTAATGCCAACAGTACAGTGTATAATTCAACAAAACCCCTTTGGCCCAAACACAGGCCTTTGCTTTTACTGCAGGACCAGACGAGTGTGTTAGATGGGTGTTCTCTGTGGGAGGGAGGGCGTTTTAAAGTCTGAAAGCATCTGTTGAGGCTCTTTAAAGCTGGCTGTTGCACAAACACACATGCACAGATCTAGTTTTAGTTTCTTTTTAATTTTACCTATTTGTTGAAGGGCAGCTCAGACCCCACTGCCTGTGGGAGGTCTGCAGGGCCTGTCCTTTTTGAGTCCTTGCTACACTTCACTGTGTTCTATCCGGACTTGTTTACTTCTGGCCTTGACTGACGGAGGCGTCATGCTGATAATGGACACCTACTTCCTGGTGAGTAATTCTTCAGAAGGGGTAGGAGGAGAACTGGACTGAGTTACCGACCTCTCCTGGGGCCGCTGTGCTGGCGTCCTGGACTTCCCAGTAGTGCTGAGCAGCGATGGACGCAGCACTTTGTTCAAGCGCGTGCAGCGAGCCAGACCGCCCAGCTTCCTTCCTGTGGGCACGTCCAGCTGGCCTGGGAGGAAGGTGTGCTGGCCGAGATGATGGAGGAGACATTATCAGCATAAAGCAGAGAACTCTTAATGAGAGCAGACCTCATGCAGGCAAGAGAGCACTGGCCCTGGATACCCACAGGGTTACCCTCTGGGACACTCTTCTTTACCATGTGGCCAGCAGGGCTAAGTGGGCCTTGCCCACGGGGAGAATAGGCAGATCCGCAAGGACCGAAATGCCTGCCTGGTTTACAATGTCTACATCGTGGGTCTGTGGGGTGACTTTGGGTTAAAGCACTCTTGCCAGAAGGCCCTAAAGTGACATAAACATAAGGGGGACAGTCAAGAAAAACTTAGTTATAATTAATTATCCAGGGCAGTTATCTCACAAACAAACACCCCCCCCCAGAAAACAGATGCCAAAGTGGTTTTAACTTTTTTCTTTAATGTGCTCCGTATTTCCAAATTTTTATTTTGTTTTAGAATTATTTTTCCTTGATACAAAGATAAGTAAATAAATTAATAACTTGCCTGGCCTTAAGGCAATCAAGATTAACAGCTTTGTATATACACCTTTACCCCCCGAATTCAATTTTGAGGGGATCACTCTCGTCTTTGCAGAAAGGAGATCATAATATGAACATTTCTTTGCATCTTGACGTTCATTCTTCACACTACATCCTGTTCCCTCACAACAGTCGAGGGAAATATGTCTTGGGCCCACGGCTGAATAGATCTCTCACATTCTATTTTTTCTAAAAAACTTTTTAGTTTTTTCTAAAAAACTTTTTTGGGGGGTTACAAAGAATGAAGTACAATTTTGCTTTATTTGTGGAGATGAAAATTAGAGAGAAAGGGAAAGGAAAATAAATATTTTAACTTAGGAATTCGAATACGGAATATAAACAGACTAAGCTGTTCCCTCAGCAAACTCATCACGCCACCACCGAGAGAGGGCAGTGCAAGGACTTGCACATCCCTCTGGAAAATCCACAAATCAAGAAATCCTTGCATTTCCTCGATGGCAAGGAGACAACTGGGGAATTCAGAGCACAGACTTTTACAATCCCATTGCCCTGCAGCATCTCCCCATTGCTCTTAGAATAACCTCCAGACTCTCTGACCTGACCTCTGCCAGTGTCCCCTGACCCTTCTGACCCTCACTGACCCCCCACTAACCCCCTGACCCTCACTCACAGCTCTGAAGTCACACTCACTTTCCTCCAGGTCCCAGAACATGCCAGGCCCTTTCGCTTCTTAGGGCCTTTGTCCCCCTCCTTCCTTTGCCTCGGGGCTTCTGTTGCACAACCGGGACCCTTACGGGTTGAACTGCGTCCCCTCCCAACCCCCCAGTACCCCAGGATGTGACCCCAGGTCTTTGCAGATGTACTTAGTTAGGATGCGATCCTCTGGAGTGCGGTGGGCCCCTAACCCAACGTGACGAGTGTTCTAGAAAAGGGCAAGTTGAGACACAGACCCACAACCAGGGTGAACACCACGTGCAGATGAAGGCAGAGTTTGCGGGGATGCTTCTGCAGGCCAGAGATGGCCGGCACATGCCCAGCAGCTTGGAGGCATGAACAGAGCCCTCCCTGCCTGCCCTCAGGATGAACCAACCCCACAGACACCCGGAGTTTGGGCTTCCAGCCTCTGTAACCGTCAGACAATAAATTGTGGTACTTTGTCAGGGCCGCCCTCGGAAACTAATAAACAATGTCCTCTCATTTGTCAAGTCTTAGCTTACAAGTCATTTCGTCAGTGGTTCCCTGACCATCTAGACCTGCCAGGGTTTTCTACCAAAGCTCAACCCAAATGGAAATCTGTGGCTATTTCATTGGTTGGCTTGCCTGTCTGTCTGCCGACGTCACCATGCCCCGGGAGCACGGGGCGTGTCCTGGCCTGACCCCTCACCGCAGCTCTGGGTGTGGCCCTGGAGGAGCAGTGCTCCCGGGAGTTGGAGCCAGACCTAGGAGGTGGCACCAATAGTGCACGTCGACTGTTACACACATTTGGGATTTTGAGGAGACATAGTTTTTCCAGGAAGTGAGGGAATTTAAAAATACTCTCAGGTTTTTTTTTTGTTGTTTTATGACACTCTTCCGTCTTTCTGGTTGGCAAACTCCCAAACATCAGGCAGTCTAGGAAAGAGGACACACTCAATGTCAGCCACGACCTTCACATGCTGTGAGTGAGGAGCCTGCAGAAAAATTGTGCAAGCTGTAACAAAATAACTCTTCAAATACGCAGATGCAGCGACTCACGTGGTTTGCTGAGTTTGTTACACATTTGAAATTTATTCCTTGTTTAAAATATTTTGATACTCAGATTACAGTAATTCTTTTAAAGAACTTCAAGGCAAAACTATAGATGCTTTTTCCTTCTGACTTTAAAAGTAATAAAAGCACTACTTTATATTTTATCACCTTAGAGAACTAATGAATATTTCAAAGCCATTAGGGATGCAATAAAGAAACCAGAGCACAACACATTTCAAAGAGTATTTTTTCCTTCATCAGAAGACTAGGACAAACCCTGTATTTATTACTGAGGATTGGGCAATCTCTTACTCAATGTAAATTCATGATTTTTAGGGAATAATTGTAACAAAATGAACTTCATTTCAGAGTTTCAATGAAATGGGAGAAACTCTCACATGAGGTCATCGTCCGGAAGTTCTCCGACTTGATGCCTGTCAGCTTTAACCTTTGACAGCTTCTTCAGCGTCTTCACAGTTCTGTGGTCGCAACTAAGGTCTCGCTTGGCCGTGTGGCTGTTCAGTGTGCACTTCACAAGAGTAGTCCTCGCAATGCAGTGCTGTAACCTACGGCTTTGCATCGGCCAACTGCTCTGGCCAGTGCGGCACACTCGTTTTCCATGGCCATATGGCCCTGAATCCCAGCACAAGGGAGGCGAGCCTCTGTGGCCGGGAGAGAGGTGGCATCAGGGACACGGAGGAGAAAACTCGGGCATCAGCTGGCAGAGGGGTTTAATCACGGCTGTAGGTCCTGGACACTCCAGTACTGCACCATCGCAGTCCACACCCTTAATGCACAGCTGTGGTTACGGGAGGAGGTGCCCTCAGTGCCATGCTGAGATGATATGACAACAGCTAGGGGCCAGTTTACTGGACTGCCAGAAAGCTTCTGGAAGGCCAAGGGCTTCATCTGTCTTGTTCGCTGCTGTATTCCCACAGCCGGGAAAAGTTCCTCGGCATGAATCAAGCTTGGTACCTAAATGATTATTTGATGAAGCTATTCTCATTTATTAGAAAAAAATGAATTAAAAACCTACTTGAAAGGGGTTCACCTTGAATGCATCTCTCAATTTCGTGCTTGAGGTGCATTCATGGAGACAGCCGTCACTCCACAGCCAAGTGACCCCCAGTCCTGACTCCGCTCCCTTGGAATCTGTCCAGGCAGGTCTCCTTTTAGGACGTTCCGTTTCACGGCTGCTGCGCACTCAGAAGCTCACTCTGGTTTCATCAGACAGCTCAAACAATGGTTTTCGTATGAGGCCAAGGTGTCCGGCCAGATTTCCTTCGCACGGCGCAGGTTACTTTTCCCAGAGACTTCCAAATGGTTCTATCTTGCTATATCAATCCACTTTCCCTCCAGAGATTTATGACTATACTCATCTCATCAAAGGGCTACGAAATACTTCTCGACGGTACACATCAATACCATGTGGATCTGAGGGTCGCGTTTACACATTCTGCCTGCAGTGACATGTCATAGAGGGCCTGAGGCCAGAGATGAAGTTCATTCTCTGCTTTAGGAGCCCAGGGGCCTGGAGAATTAGAAACGAGAGCCTTTCCTCAGGGAGCTCCCAGGCCTCTGGAAAGGCCGAAGCTGGTGATGCCTCCCAGTTCCCTGGCTGGTCAATGAAGTGACAAAGACAGGGTCGTAGGGAAAGGTGTTTTGAGTTTAGTTTTAGATACGTTTACTCTGAGGAACATCTAGCAGGGAATGTGCCCAGAGCTCAGAAGTCACCCATTTCGGAGCGGGCACTAACTAAAACTCTGGGCATGGGGGAGGGCATGCAAGGGGAAGGACCGTCGAATGAGAAAATACGAGCGTTGAGGACAGAGAGTCTGGAAACGCCATAATGTAGGGGGCTGGCAACAGAAGAGGAGCCAGCCAAGACGCAGGACAGGACGGAGGGATGTGACATTGTGGAAAACGGGAGGCGTGATGAGCATTTTCAAATGTCACATAAGATATGGAGTGGACGAGGAGTGGAAACAGCATTTAGAAAACTTACTAGAAGGAAATACACAAAAAATAGCAACAGGCCTATTCCTGATTGGGGAGATGGCAGGTGGTGGATTTTCTTCATTCGACTTTTCTATATTTTCTGCATTCTGTACAATAAACATGGGTTGCATTTATATATTAAAAAAATAAGCCCTGACCAGCGTGGCTCACTTGGTTGAGGTGTCCCTCCTATACACCCAAAGGGCTCGGGTTCAATTCCTGGTCAGAGCACATGCCTGGGGTGCTGGTCTCCAGTTGGGCACAGGAGAGGCAACTGACTGATGTTTTTCTCCCTCTCTCTCCCCCTCCCCCTTGCTCTAAAAATCAATAAGCATGTCCTTGGGTGAGAATTAAAAATAATGAAGTCTAAAATAATTTATGGGGACCAAGTAATTATTAATTCACAGATATCTGAGTGCGTATGTGCTGGGCACCACACGAAGGATAAAATGATGAACACGAGGCCGGTTCTGTTCTTCGGAAAAAAGCATGACAGCTGCTTTGACAAGGGAAGGGGTTAAGACTCATGGGGCACGAGAGCAGGAGGCACCACTAGAAGAGTAGTTCGGTGGCAGATTATAACAGACTTTATATGCCTTGTCAAACGATGTGGATTTTACTGAGGGGAGAAGTTGGGGTTGGAAGTGTGCCTTGCCTGAAGTTAATTTTCTCAGCAGTGTGGCTGCTTGCCCGGAGGTGTCCCCGTTAGGAGACAGGGAGCAAGGCCAGTGCAATCAGTGAAGGAAGCCATGCTGTGGAGAAGGAGCTAGGTCCAGGCCCAGGGAGACCTGGGAGCAGCATCGCCTGGTCTGCAGGACACTGTGGATTGGAAGGGCGGCAGGTCCTTGAACAACACTGTTCGGTTCCCTGTTCTTCCGTTGTAACATTGATGAGATGCTACAGGAACTTACCCTTCGTTTCCATCAATTAGCTCACAGTAAAATTGGTTTCTTTGCACAGTTTCACTTCAACTCTCAGAACCTGTCCACGACCATGTTAGTTGAGGGAAAACAGGCATCACTAATAGGTTTTTCGTGTGGGCCCACGGGGTGGGTAGAGTACTGTCCTACAGAATTTGTACAGCGTGGCTCTGATGGCCTGCAGTGGCCTTGCTGTGCGAAATGACCCAGTGAGTGGCCGTGTCAGACAGGATTCTGGGAAAGGGGTGGGACATGTCTGCCTGTGAGGTCTGTCTCTCAGATGCCACCAGACAGAGTCCTGAACCGTCCTCTGTCTCATCCGCACCTCTGCACACTTCGGCACTTTTCTTTTTCCAGTCCATAGAATTCAATACTTCTGCGACCAAGAGGGGCGCTGGACTTACGCTTTTATTATAGAAAAGTGTTTACCTCTAGATAGCTGTGGCCTCCCGGGAAAGGACGTTCTCTGGGTAGAGAAGTTTGGGAGAAGCCTGATGAAACTTCAAGGCGGGGAAAGAAACAGGTATACGCGGTTGAGGATCAGTGCTTTTAAAGCGAGGTCCCAAGTGAATGGTATACCTTAAGGTGACAGGTACTGCACCTGTATTCCTGCATTCTCTCTTTCTCCCCCATTTTACAGCCTTGCAAACTGAGCCCTTATCCAGACCAAGGATGCTCAGCTAGTAAGTAAGTTAAGGAGGCCAAAATGGTCTCTGCCCCAGCCAGCCGCGACCGACATTTTTAGGCAACATTAACGCGCATCCTTACTCATGTCCTTGGGCTGTTAACTAGCATCCTTGACCATGTCCTTGGGCTGTAAAGGCAACTGCTGTGGCACCGGCCGTGGAGAGCGTGCAGGGCGCTACTCCCGACTTCCCAGGGGAAGGCCGTCCTTATCTCGGAGTGAGCAGCAGGTGGTGCCTGCGATAGCGGCAGCCCCTCAAGTGGTTACACCCTCAGCCCCTGATAGGGGCCCAAAGGGTGCAGGACGCCCGCCCTGAGTACTGTTGTTTTGCCAGTTAATTGTTCCTTCGAGTGGACTGGGTTACAAAGTCTCTAAACACCACTTACACCTGCCCCACCTACTGAGTGGACGCCCCGTGCGTCCCGGGACACCCCCTCCTCCCCACCCTTCAGTAAGTATCCCCTAGGACGCAGGGTCAGGTGCCCGCCCTCCCTCCGACAGCCACTGCCCCCGGGCGTGCGCCGCGCCCCCCGCGGACCCCCGACCCGGACCCCACCGCGCTCGCGTGTTCGCGCGGCGCGTGCGTGGGAGCGCCCCGCGTGCCTCCCACAGACTCACGAGCAGCCGCTTGTTGCTCCCGCTGCCGCGACGTGGGGAAGTGAAAATGAAATAGACTTTTCGAGAAATGATGAAAGCCGCCGGGCCTGCCAATGAGCGGCGGCGGCGAACTTCCGCACCTCGCGGCCGCCGCGCGCCGCCCTCCGCCCCCCCTGGCGGTTGCACAAGCCCGAAACAAACACGGGGGAGGAAGGGCGGAGGGAGGCGGGCGCAGCGGGGCGGGGGGCGGGGGGATTTCCAGCCTCGGCTCCTCGGTTTCCTCTCCTTGTTTTGCTTTCGATCTGGACTGTTCTCAGGCAAGCCGGGGAGTAACTTTTAGTTTTGCTCCTGCGATTATTCAACTGACGGGCTTTCATTTCCATTTCACACACCCTAGCAACACTTAAATCTTGCGGAATTGCACTGGTAGCGTGAAAAAGCACACTCGAGAGGTAACATTTTTTTTTCCAATAATAGTTGTGACTGCGCGAGTGTGTTTTTCGTGAGGGCATGTTTATGAGGACCGGAGGGGATGTGTGTGTGTGTGTGTGTGTGTGTGTGTCCAGATGGTCTGACATGATGTTTTGCAGACGGAGAATGCTGGGGCTCATAAATATTAATACCGATTTTTGGAGGAACAGTCCGCGCGGTTCAGGATCATCTGATTTTAGGGGAAGCAGGTTCTGCTGGTGTAGCTGCTGCTGCTGCTGCTGCTGGGTCTGCTGAGGCTGCAAGGAAGAGGAGGAGGTAGAGAGGGAGGAGGAGGAGGAGGAGGTCGGTGGAGGTTTAATTTCACTTTTGGATTTGCAGATGCGGAGAGGTGGCTCCATGGACACTGACCTGCTCAGTGTGACTGCGCGCCCCAGGTGCGGTGTGTGGGGGTGCAGGTCCGCTGGAGTCGGGCCTCCTTTTACAACACATTGATCGTGTGCGAGTGTGTGTGTGTGCACAGACGCCGTCGCCCCCAGATCCGAAGGCGGGGAAGCGGGTCCTGCCCCGTGCCCGGTGGCTGCGCCTGTGCAGGCAGCCTCCGGCGTAAATAAGCAGGCAGCCACCGTCCGCCCGGCTGCCCTGCGCGGGGCTGGGAGAGGCGCCGCCCGCCGGGGCCGGAGGAAACTTGATGGGGCGCCCGCCCGCCGGGATCGGGGGAAGGGTCCCGGGCGCGCGGGCTCGGAGCCGGACTGGGCGCCGGGCCTGGCCGGCGCGCCCGGCTTCCGCGGGGCTGGGCCGCTGCCGCCGCCGCCGCTCGGGAGGGACGTCGCGTCCTCCTTCCCGTCGGCCAGCGCCCGGCCTGGCCGGGGGCTTTGTCACTGCACTTGTCCGGGCGCGTGGGGGGCTCTGGAGGCGCGTCCCGGGGGTGCGCCGCGCCTAAGGGTCATCTGCCCTGGCCGCGGCCTAGCGCCAGGCGCCTCCGGGTCCCCACGGGCGCCCCGAGCCGGCCTCGCGCGCTGGGCCTGACCCGCCTCGACTACGGAGCGGGCGAGGTGGGGGCGGGGAGCCTCCGGGGACCGAGCGGTGCCCTGCTGGCACGCTTGGGGGCCCGCGTCTCCTGGGGGACCTGGGGCCGCGGCGGGCTGGGGACATGACTGCCCGCCCCACGCCCTCCGACCCCGCTCTGGGCGCCGTGGGGCACTCGCCCGCCGGCCGAACGTGGTTGGTGCAAAGCCGCGGCCGCCACTTCCTTTCCGCCTGGTCCGCCGGGCTCGTCCCCGAGCGCTGCCCGCCGCGGCCAGTCGTGGCGCTCGGCCGCTCCCGGTGCCACGGCCTGGGGGGTCGGTTCCGGAAGCCTTTGCAAGTTTCCAGGGCTGCAGGATGCAACTCGGTCTCCTCCCCGGGACACGCCGGCATCCCTCTTTGGCCCCAGGTCTTGGGGCATTGGGCGCCCTCACCCCCTTGCCTCTTTAGAGGGGAAAAGGGAAGGAGGCTGGCAGCTGAGCCAGGCGCAAAGGCGCTGCTACTCCGTTCGCCAGTTAGGGGCCCGGGCGGGGCGGCCTAGGCACGACCCTTGCTCGTCACCTGTAAGTGCGACTCCTGGGACAGGCAGTGGAGGTGGCCCCCTGTTGTTAGCGGCTTGGCTCGGGTTTCACTCGATTTTGAACCTCCCAGGACAGAGTTTGGAACTTGGGGACATTTTAGGCGCTGCCCGCCTCCCTGGTCTCCTCTCTCTAGCGTGGGCCGCGCTCCTGGTCCTTGGTTCCTCGGTTCGGGCATGAAAAAAATGCAGAATCTTCCTATATCTGAGTGGCCTTCTGCCACTGGCTGCCCTGTCGCTGTGACTCGGCCTGTTTTGATGAATGGCTCCGGAGGGTAGAGGAGAGTGACATTTCCTCTGGTCAATTTTCAGGAACCACCAAGGTCGCTGTCAAGCCTGCAGTCATTTATTACTTTTCAGACCGATGGCAAATAACGCTGGAACTTCGCGGCCGGCAGTTTCTGGTGCTCCAGGGCAGGTGCAGATGAGTCTGGAGACTGGGGAGCGCCTTGATGTTAGGCAGATGCTCGCTCCCTTACCGGCCTGGAGGGCCGTCTCTGTTTAACGTCATCAGGCCGGTGCACTTGGGCTTCTCTAGTTTTCTCAACCCCCTATCATCCCCCCTTTTTTTAATGGAGAAAGGGGGGGGGAGAAACCTAAAAAATCCATTTTTTAAGGAAACTTCAGGAGACGGAATATTTAGAATGTAAACTGACATTTCTAAGGGGCAACCTTGGACCATCTATTGATTGACGTGGCAGAGCCTGTCATTTGACTGTAATTAGTGAATGATTATAATTTATAACTTAGCCTGTTGTGTAAGAAGTTAGCTTTTGGCCTCTGAGATCAAAGAGTTCTTATCTGTCATGATTTGTAACTGCTTCTTAATATTAAACATTTATATATTTCATTCTCAGAGAGTTGTCCTTTTTTCCCTGTTAATCTTGAAAAGGTAGAGATAATTCCACGTCCCACAGATGGAATCACCTGTGAAATGTCAGCCTAATCAAAAGGAAGGGTTTGTACTTAAATTGGAAGCAAATTCAGGCAAACGGTTGTCTTACAGCTCTGACAGATCTGTGAACTATGGCCCCACTTTTAGCTTTTTGAAATGCTACCTTAGGCAAATACTCAAAATACCAAGGCTAGTTAAAGATGTTTAAACTTCACAGTGGACAATTTGAAACTTTGGGTGTTGGCATTGGGCGTGCGTTGAAATTCTCATGTCCCCAAGGATATCGTACTTCTATTCTTAGTACCATTGAGTGTAAGCTCTATTATAGTTTTTAGACATTTTTCATACAGTTCCCTTTTGGTAGGGGACAGACCCCTGAGCTCTAAGTAGGGCATGCAGGACACAGTTCCATTATGTGCTGTGTACCAGAAAGGGCTTCAAGCAGACAAAGGCCTTTATTCATTTAATGCATTTCCCTAGAATGTCCAGTCTGCCAAGGACACAGGGTTAGGCGCTGTGGGTTCAGCTGGGAACCTCTTCCCCGCCCCCACCCCCACCCAGGAATACTGCATTCTAGTTAGGGAACTGTCAGTACACAACTGAAAAACAAAGGCAGTAATCATCACCTGGGGTTAGTTCTGCGGAAGGTAATAATAATACTCAACCGGCTATCTGATCGGGTTGCTCTGGCAGACAGGTAAGATACTGTGTTTGAAAAGAAGGTCCCGCGAGTTACTCCAGTCTACCAGTGTGTAAGGCATGAGTTTACAGAATTCTATCAGATTATTGTTTATTTTTTAAGTATGCTTTTTAAATTTTTAAAAGATTTTATGTATTTATTTTTAGAGAGAGAGGAAGGGAGGGAGAAAGAGAGGGAGAGAAACATCAATGCATGGTTGCCTCTCACGCGCTCCCCGCCCCCCCCCCCCCCCAGCCTCCACTGTGGACCTGGCCCAAAACCCAGGCATGTGCCCTGACTGGGAATTGAACCAGCGACCCTTTGGTTCGTAGGCCAGCGTTCAATCTACTGAACTACATCAGCCAGGATATTATTATTAATTTTAAAACGCCAGGAAATCCTGACTACAGATGAAACAAACACTCAATTTCTCTTACAGAATTTTCAGCCAGAAGGGGCTACTTATTTTGAGACTATATAAATAATGGTAGGAAATTTAACAGGGAATGACGTTCCAATAAAGCAGCAAAGTGTTTAACAATGAAATATGATATTGTCGGTGAATTTTTTTTTTTTTTTTGTGAAAAGAAAAGTTAGATGGTGCTCATGGAGACCAAATGATGTAACGACGGTTGGACCAGCACAGTTTCCCTCCTTAGATCAGAAAAAGACCTTCCCAAACTCCATGTGCGTTTGTCTGAATCTTCTTTATCAGTGTTTCAGTCTCAATTCAGTATCTTATTACAGGTGTACCCTTAACTGATTTTAGTATTTTGCTCTTACATCTTTAAAGGGACTCAGCTAACTTATATTGCCTGAATGCTTATTATGTGTCCACTGCTATAGATGTGGAAACAATATGACAACATATGTAAAAATAAATAGAATACATAGTATATGTTTATAGTGTCTAACATAAGAATACATAAAGTAGTATATGAAAATAATATGAATGGCTGTGAAATGTCAGTCATCAGTAATAGAGTTGGTTCTTTTCATCTGAGTGGGGCGGGACCCCCGGTGCCTTCCCCTCCGGGGTGGGAGGTCAGGGCTTTTTGACCCAGCGGTACCTTACGTCGGGCCTGAGTGCATGTGACCAGTATTTGCCCCTGGCAGGGCTGTGAGTGGTCCTCGTGGTGGGAATGGGAGCGAGGAGGTTTGATTAAATCTTGAGTTTTCAGCAAAGAACAGTAAGTTATCCGTAGAGTCTAGATTTAAGCCCGAAGCCAATGTTCTCTGTAAAATATCAAGACGAACACACAGGCAGGACGTGAAGCCCACAGGTCACAGCTGCAGTGGCTGAGTTGTGAGGTTGGCCCCAGGACTCCGCCCAGCCTCGAGGGCTGGAGCCTGCGGCAGGCCCTACCAGCCAGCCTTTTACCTCCGGCGGTTCCTTTGAAAAGATTCCCGATCACCAGCTCCGCCTTCCAACAAACTGTATCTGAGAGGAGCTGCGTTTCGTCAGAAGCCTGCACGTGCCCCTGTTGTCTACTCAGAAACACGCACGCGTTCTGGTCAGAGCTCCTGATACACTTGGGGGAACTAGAGGCATCCGATCTGCTTGCTCTAATTCCAGCCCAAAAGTGGGGTTTTGGACATCCCAGGCAGCTGTTTTCTGCGTGAGTGCGTGGTCCTTTTAGGCTTTCTGAGGTTTTGGAACTAGCCCAGGGCCCTCCCTGGCCCTCAGTAACTTTTGAGTTCTGCTTCGGATCCAGTGACCCCTGGATTGGAACTATTGTGGCGACCCAGGGATCATATTATTAAATGAATGCAAACAGAGAGCCTTTATTTTATTTAATGTAATTACATATTTGTGATAGCCAGCCACGTCCGAAGCTCTGTGGCGTGGGGGGTGCCTGAAGTCAAGGGTCCAGAGGCCTGGAGTTGATTTTCAGCTCTTTTATTAACTGGTCAACCATGTCCCCTTTCTGGACCTTAGTTTTCACACCTGTAAAATGGGCCTGCACAGTTCTGTCATCTTTGGAAGGGACTCATGTGTGCATCAAAATTACCTAGGGGGAGGGGCTTCTGGAAACCACACAGGGGCCTTCCGATTTGAGGCTTACCGACAGCCCTTCTTCTCCTTGCCTCTCCAGCTTTAAGGAACACCCCCTTCTCTCCAGGGAGCCTCTGATCCTCCCTGGTGCATCCTGGATCCCTGTCCCTCAGGTGTGTGGGCCACCGCGCGGTGGAGAAGTGCTGAATCCAGGTTCCCCTCCCAGAGCCAAATCTTTGTTTTTCCATTGGCTCAGAGGCTGTGTCCGGCCAGAAGTAAAGCAGATGGAGCCCGACACCCACATTTTCGACAGAGCTTTGAAGAGGGAGTCTGTGTTCGTCCCCGTGGGCCCTCCCCGTGTTGACCCCACGTGTCATAGAAAAGTGGCAGGATGGTCAGGGCTGAGAAACTTTCAGTTTTCCGTTGTGAAGAGGCCAGAAGGTCCTCCCATCATGGGTCTGTCTCTTTGTCCAGGAAGGACGTACAGAGGTGGGGGTTGGTTCTGTGTGTTTCTGTTTTGGCTGCGGTCCTCTTTTCCATGTAGTATTTAGCTTCAATAAGCAAGGAAGAGTTAGAGTTGGACAAAAACGTCTCTGGGAGCCTCAGGCCCCATGTGCCTGTCTGATGCCCCACCTTTATGAGAAACTGGACGATGTGGTTCTTTCTGAGGGTGGATTCAAGGCATTTTTATCTCAAGGGCAAGGCCCACTTAGTTCAATAAAGTATCTTACTTTAGAATTTTGTGTGGTAAAGTCCTGTCCAGGTTTCATTCAACAGACACTTTTGACAGTTAATTATTTGCTGTGTAATTTTCACCAATAATTTCAGGCGCATGTGGCAGTCTGTTGCTCTCTGTGTAACAGCATGTGCTGCTCACACACCTAATGTGACCAAGGGCAGGATGAGCTTCCACTTTGATTCGTTCTTACTGAGCTTATGACTGTCAGGTTTTTGTAGGATCCAAAGAAAAACCTTCTAGATGGAATACACTGTCCTGACCCCATCAGCTTGGAATCCGAATGACTTTCCTGTGTCGTGAGGTTGGCATCTCGAGTGAGAAAGAACTGCGTGCAAACTGCTTTATTTCAAGTAGTATCTCACGTGTTAGTTTTGAAGATAGCTGGTTTCTTTGTTGTTGTTCTCACCCCAGATTATCAAAGCAATGAGAAAAATGACCATGGTAGGAAGAGTGTCCCCAACCTGGGAAAGGCGCTAGTGAGTGTGAGGAGTGGTGGGCAACAGTGCGGGGGGGGGGGGTGTCACTGAACGGTGACCCTTGGTGGATGAGGTGAAGAAAACAGAACCAGGTGGAGAGTGGACTGGTGCCTCCCGAACTCTCAAGGGAGGGAGGAGGTCAGGCGGAGGTCAGGCGGGCTGACGTTGTCTTGCCAGGAGTGTTGTGGAAAGCGTTCTGGAGGTGGGGGAGGGCTGGTTGCTGGTCACCTGACAGGAACTCAAGGGCAAGTTGAAATGCTGGAGGACCCTCCACTTCTGACTTTGGAATTGGGCTTTTTTGTGGGTGGGATGCTGACGTCTGATGGGGAAACCGCGAGGCTGTGGCCTTCACACAGGTGAACAGCTGGCTCTGAGTGGCTGTCGCCGGGGCGTGGCCAAAACTACCTGAGAGGTAGCATTAAAGCCGGAGAGGATGGAGGAATCCATCTCCCAACCTGAGGCCTCAGACTGAATCCAAAACTGCCCCGGGAGGCGAGCCTGGGCCCCGAGAGGAAGGCACGTGTTGGTAACATAGGTGAGAGTGCTGCCCGCACTCTCCTGCGCCCTCCTCTCTTCCCCCTGCCTGCCTGTCTTCCTGCTGCTGTTTTATTTTTGTCAGGTTGTGGGTGGGGGCTAGGGAATCAGGTGTGTCTGGGTCCTGCGGGTCCCTGACTTTAAAATGCTCCAGGTCACAGTTGGACTTGAGCGTTGACATTAACCTTCTGGAATTTTTAGTGTTATGAACTTAAGGTCTAAAAATGTTCAACTCTCTGTTCCAGGAATTCCACTTCTAGGAACTTACTCACATGGGGTAACCAGAGATGGGACAAAGATTTGTGTACAAGGATGTTTCTTGAACTAGCTTTTGTTATAGTGCAAACTTGGAAACAACCTAAATGCCCAGCCGGAGGAACACATTTGAGTGAAACACAGCACACCCAGACCACAAGTG